GAAGAGTCGGGGAAGTGCTTGGCAAGTGGCTGGTCAGGTAGGTGGAAGCTTGAACCTTCTGGGGTAGGTTAAGAACTTGGGGAATGAAGGCAGGGAATTTATTAAACTGAGATTTGCGTACAGTGCTCTGATGTTCCCTGGCTCTCTCTACCTCATTTATGGCTTTAGCCTGCACTTAGGCTAATGACTTCCGATATTCTGTCCATGCTAGTCTCCTGCTGAACTCTGTGGCTTCAACTGCCCATGGACAGTTCACTCATCTGTAGGAGGCAGGGTGAACTGGCGATCTGCAGAGGGTCCTGCTAGCTCGAGTTATTTGACTTCTGGAGTTCATAGGAAAGAAGGCTCACTCTGGAGGAGGTAGCGTTGAACCAAGCCTCAGTGGATGGTAGATTTATCAGGATGTCTTTGACTCTGTATCAAACTGGATTTCTTTCACGGCAGCTTTTCCCTCCTTGCTGTGGACTCTCTGGGCCAAAGATGGGTTTTCTCCTTGCTCCCGTAAAGCGGTAAAGCCTCAGAAACTTGCAAGGGCAGTTAGTTCTACCCTCTCCTCTAGGGTCTCTGAGTCAGCATTGCTTCGGCAGTGAGCTTGGTTTGTTGGCTTGTTGGACTTTCTGCCTGGAGGACAGAGTGAGGGCACGGAGCACGTGTTCCACTTCCAAGAGCCCTTTCCAGCTCCCAGGATCCTCCCACCAGGACGCAGAGCGAGTTGGAGCATTCAGTATGGGGATCATAAAAGTTCACTGAACTCATTTAGGACAGATGAAGTTGACATGCCATCACAATGGCTCAACTTGACTCTGTTGATGTTAAGTGCCATTGAGTCAGTAGTTTCCACTCAATGAGAAATAGAAGAGAAAACCACCCGATCCTGCGCCATCTTCACAATTATTACATCTGAGCTCATTGCCGCAGCCACGGTGTCCGTCTGTCTTGTTGAGAGCCTGCCTCCTTCTCGCTGCCCCTCGGCTTAACCAAGCCTGAGGTCCGTGTCTAGGTACTGATTTCTCCTGACATGTCCAAAGTCTGTGAGAAGAAGTCTCACTGTCCTTGTCTCTACTGAGCATTCTGGCTGGCTGTCTTCCAAGGTAGATAGGTTTGCTCTTTTGGCAGTTGGTGGGATTTACAATATTCTTCGACAATCCCATAGCTCAAATGCCTTTAATTTTCTTCTATCTTCCTTATTCAATGTTCAACTTTCACATGCAAATGAAATGATTGATAATAGGTGGCTTGGGTCGGGTTCGCCCTCAAAGTCATACCCTTGCTTTTCAACACTCTAGAAAGATCGTGTGCAACAGATTTAGCCAATGCGTGGTTTGATGTCTTGAGTGCTGCTTCCATGAGCATTGATGGGGCTCCAAGCAAGACAAAAAATCCATGACAACTTCCATCTCTTCTTCCTTCATCATGATGTGACCTCTTGTGAGGACGTTAATCTTCCTTACGTTGAGTTCTGATCCATACTGAGGGCTGCAGTCCTTGATCTTCATCAGCAAGTGCCTGGAGTCCTCACTTTCAGCAAGCAAGGTTGTGTCACCTGCATATTATCCGTTGTTAATGCGCCTTCCTCCAATCCTAATGTTGCATTCTTCTCCGACTGCTGCATTCTATTCTAATTCAGCTCATGCAGGTTGAATAAGTATGGTGAGAGGATACAACCCTGGGGCACCCCTTTCCTGATTTTAAGCCATGCAGTGTTTCCCTAGTTCTGTTCACACAACTGCCTCTTGATTTATACACAGTTTCCACATGAGCACAACTAGGTGTTCTGAAATTCCCATTCTTCTCAAGACTATTCATAATTTGTTATGATCCACACAGTTGAATGCCTTTGCATAGTCAATAAAACACAAGGAAGCATTTTCTGACAGTCTCTGCTTTTAACCAAGATCCGACATTAGCAAAGCTATCCCGTGCTCCATATCCTCTTCTGAATCCAGCCTGAACTTCTGTCAACTCCCTGTCAATGGACTGCTGCAACCTGTGTTGGCTTATCTTCACCAAAAATTTACTTGTATGCGATATGATATTGTTCTCTAATTGGAGCATGCTGTTGGGTCACTTTTTTGTGTGTGTAATGGGTACAAATATGGATCTCTTCCTTTTGGTTGGCCAAGTAGCTGTCTTCCAAATGTATTGGCATACAGGTGTGAGTGCTTCCAGTGCTTCATCAGCTTGTTGGAACTTGACTCTAGGTGACAAAGTCCAGCTCCCTGTGACAGCAGATCTGTCCTGGCGTGTAGCCTTTGCTAGGCTTTCTGGCCTCAGCATTTGCCAGGCGGTGCCTGGCAGTTTCTGCTCCTGTCACAGTCTTAATTTTAATTCTTCACCAACGTCATATTGCTCTTGACCTCTCTTTTATTCCTGTCGCTCTTGTAACCTTGAATCCCTTCCCTAAACTCTCAGTGCATCTCCTACATTGTATAAGAATTATCTGAGGAGACTTGGTGGCCCAATGGTTCAATGCTTAGCTGCTAACCAAAAGGTTGACTGTTCAAACCCACCCAGCAGCTCTCCAGGAGTAAAACCTAGTGATCTGCTCCTATGAAGACTACATCCAAGAAAACTCGATGAGGTAGTTCTACTGTCACACCCCATCACGATTAGTTGGAATCAATCTGTCGGCAATGAAGAGCACAGCAACATAAGAATTATTCACTTAATTCTTCTCACCATCCCACTAGACTGTTCATATTATATTATTTTCTAAATCTGTTTCTTCAGTGAATCGATGCATCGATTGTGACTGGATCTCCAGTTGAGTAATCAATAAGTATCTCAATCCCAACTTGATCTGCTGATACATCAGAACATACACTCTCACCCACCCCCTATACTAGCCTAAGTACCCCCACGTCTGTGCCCACACTTCCCTGGCACTCCTCATCAGACTCCGGTGTGAGTTTCTATGAAGCCAGCTCCTATTCAGGGAGACCTTAGGTAGAACAGAACAAAACGTTGCCTGGTCTTGTGCCACCCTCATGATCATTACTATGTTGATGTGCATTGTGAGGTTGTTCATCAGATTACAGCCTTCTGTTTTCCTAGCTAGCTACTTCCTCTTTTAGACCGGACATCTCCCCTGTGAGAGACCATGTCTTTGATCCCTGTGTCATAGCGTACCTGCTCAACAGTTGGGGTTGAAGGAACAAAGAAAGAAAACAAGACAAAGGGAAAGAGCCAGCCTCTGCATGATCTCCTGCAAGATTTGGAACTTTCCCTTCATGAAAGAATTACCTGTATAATATGATGCCCCTCTCTGAGTTTTACATTTGCATAAAAATGTCTGCCCTGAGCAGCTAACTATGTGGCTAGCTTCACTCCTCAAAGCAATAAAGAGCTCACTGCCATCCAGTCAATACTGACTCATAGTGATCCTAAAAGACAGGGTAGAACTGCCCCTGTGGGTTTCCGGGACTGTAAGTGTTTGTGGGAATAGAAAGCCCTGTCGTTGCCCTATAAAGAGTGGCTGGTGGTTTCAAAGTGTTGACCTTGTGGGTTGCAACCCAACTCATAACCATTACATCACCAGGGCTCCTCAAAGCATTCCATTGTCTGCAAAAAGCATTATACTGGAGTCAAAGGATTAGAATTTGCTATCTGCCATTTAGTAGCTGTATGATCTCTCTGGTTCTTATATTTTTAGATGAACTTTTAAAAGCTTTAAGTTTTGAAATTTGGTGAGTCACAGAGTGACACATGTAAAATTTAAAATATTTCCTGTGGCTGGAATTAAGAGAAGGCCTCGAAGGGTGTGGTAGTTACATAATCTCCTGTCAACTTGTGAAGGGGTGGAGTCTAGCCTGTCAATCAGGTCTCAGCTTGATGACCTCATTTGGAGGTGTGAAGGAGATAAATAGCTCACTGGAGGGCAGACACACTCTCTGCTTTGTCTCGCTGTGAGACATTCCTTTTGAAAAGCCACATGGAGCTTTGCTGATGGCAGCCCGAGCCTTGGAGCTAGAGAAGATACTTGGCGACTCACGCCAGTGTTGAGATGCTGCCACTGCCACTGGACCCACAAGACTTTCCACCCACTGGCCTGTGATCTTCCTGTACTCGGCATCATTGCATGTGTTGCATGCGTCTGAAGAGGAATTTATAGACTGGTATGGGACATATGGGCTAATATCGGACTTATGGACTTGATCTGGACTGGCTGGGATGTTTTCTTAATCCACAATTATTCATTTATATAAAGCTCTCTCTTATACGCATATGAGTGTCTATGAATTTGTTTCTCTAGTCTACCCAGACTGGCAAGCTCTAGAATTCTCTGCTATGAAGGACAGATGGAGCCCGAAAAGAGCACAAGTTTACACTGTGCTATTGAAGGATGTCAGATTCCCAGGGCAGAGGACCTCACAACCATCTTTAGAATTAGACACTTAATTTGTGGTCTGTTGCAATCTCCCTTATGCTACGTGAAAATATGGTCGATTCTGACTCAACAGCGACCTTCTAGGACAGGATAGAACTGCCCCTTTGGGTTTCTGTATGGAAACCCGATGAGCTGATCAATTTCTTCTTTAGTCTCTGATTCTTCTTGAATCACACCCATACTACTAGAATAAGACAGAACTTGAAAGCAGAAGAATTCCTACAGTGTTATCATCCAACCCTATGGCTGCATTGTTCCTTTCTGCCACTACATTTTTAATTTTCAAGGGCTCTTTTGTCCTCTAAATGCTTCCTTTGAATAGCATTCTGGTGTTTGACAGATATAGTATCTTCTCATTTCTTTGAGCATATTACACGAAGTTTTCTTCTGCTTCCAACAGAAGAACTTTCTCGGTGTGTGTGGAAATCTCAGGCTCTATTGCACTAGGTCTTTCCTACTCATGCCTGCCTCTTCTGTCCCTGTCACTATACCCAGGCTCTTCATCTACAGTTCCCTAGCAGTGGGTGCCTCCAGTAGCTGGACTCTCACTCCCTCTGCAGACATCCCAGACTTACTCTGAATCTCTCAAGCACTGTGTGTTCTGTTTCTCCAGGAAGACGTCTCCTATGAGGAAAGGGCCTGTGAAGGGGGCAAGTTTGCCACCGTAGAAGTGACGGGTAAGCCTGTGGATGAGGCTCTACGGGAAGCAATGCCCAAAGTCATGAAGTATGTGGGAGGCACCAATGACAAGGGTGAGTATCCCGGAAGGGTGCAGCTCTCCTCCCAGAAACTAGATTCCTATGATTTCCCTTCTTCAGTAGAAAACCCCATTAGAAAACCCAGAAGGCCGTGTCACTCTGTTTCATTGACTTCCCTGGACTATGTGCACAGGAGTTCGTTGGAGGTAGCTCTGGGGGGACCGCCCTGCTGCCTAAGTTCAGGCTTCTCCCCCAAGTGTAGACTCATGGTCTGTACTGTTAAAGCCTTCAGTGACTTTCAAGTCTTTGGATTGGCTGGCTAGGTAGGTGTGTCCCAGTAGGCCAACCCACAAGGCAGCAGCTGATTGGAGGCCTCCACGCCAGGCTGAAAGTGCCCTGCCAGCCCCTGAGAGCTCAGGAAGCTGCAAGTGTGACAGGTTCCAGGCTCTGGTCTGGCCAGGGGGCAACAGGAGGAGTCTGAGAATTCTTAGGCTGTCCACTTTTAGAGATTGGGTGATCCATGCTGGCTGCCTTCTGAATGTAAAATGATAAACCTGAAAGTTCATGTAAGGGGTACTTGTTTGCTCATAAGCCATGTTTAACTGTGAGTTTGACTCATCAGAAGATTTCTGACTTGGGATCATCACATACCCAAAATGAGGCAGAGATTCTCTTAATGTTTAAGATATTTCTCAGGCTGGTAACTTAGAAAGTTAGAAACTTAACCTTAACCTTAGGAATATTTTCTAGGACCAGGCCTCCATTAACTGAACATCTACATTAGCCGGAGCCGAGCTCTGGAGAGCTCAGAGGGTGTCTCGTTTAGAGTCGTGGACACAAGGGAGATATGAATTAACCTATAGGAGCTCAAGAAGACATTTTTTCCTTCTTAGCACTTTGTCATAACGTGTGTGTGTGTGTGTGTGTGATGGAACTTATTCAAGAAAATCTCAAAAATCACAAAACAACACCCTTAATTAAACCTCACTCTAATACCATCGCTATTGTCTTCGGGTGTATTTCTTTGGGACTTTTGAGAAGACTTGATAGTGTAGTAATGTTGTTTGGGAAATTGTACTGATTTTCATAGTTATTTTCCACTGTTGCATAACAGTTCGTAGTATACTACTTTGCAAAATAGTATACTACTTTGCAAAACAATTCGCTTAAACATATTCCTGCTGAAGGACTTGTATGGCTCCCAGTTTTCCTGTTTATAAAATCTGCAGCAATTATTCTTTTTTTATTTATCTAAATCATTTTATTGGGGACTCATACAGCTCTTATCCAAATCCATACATCCATCCATTGTGTCAAGTACATTTGTACATATGTTACCATCATCATTTTCAAAACATTTTCTTTTTACTTGAACCCTTGGTATCAGCTCATTTCCCCCCTCTCCCCTCCTTTCCTCATGAACCCTTAATAACTTATAATTTTTTTTTTCATGTCGTATACCGACTGCTGTCTCCCTTCATTCACTTTTCTATTGTCTGTCCCCTGGGAGGGGATTATATGTGGATCATTGTGATGGCTGTCCCCTTTCTCCCCCCACCTTCCCGTTCCCCTCCTGCTAGCAATAAATATTCTTAAGCCTATCATCTTTCCCATAGTTTGGATTCTTGCATTAAAGTGGACTCCTAGAGATGAAGCCATCCGGATAGAAATGTGTGTGTATTGCCAAAGGAGTTGTGCCACTACCCCGTTGTGGTTGCTGTTGGCTGCTATTCAGTCAGCCCCACCTCATGGCAGTCTTCTGTGTAACAGAACAGCTGTTGCCTGCCCCAGCACCACCTTTATGGTCACTGATAGGCTTCAGTCCATTGTTGCAGCTATCTTACCCTGCTACCTCCAACCCATATGTAAAAACAAGATGTGTGGGCCTGACTAGATACTTCCTCCCTGAAGATTTTATTCCTGATTCTAAGAACAAAAGATCCTGTCTAGGAAGAAGCACAAGAGTATCAGATCTTCCAGACTTCTGAGCAAGTCTGCTTGCTCAGGCCTGCGGAAGGTCCGATAGTCTCATTTTCTTCCAAAACAGTATCTTCTTGTCCCTGACCTCTCACGATATGTGTTTCTGTGTTTCCAGGAATCGGGATGGGGACGACAGTCCCTGTGTCCTTTGCCGTGTTCCCCGGTGAAGATGGCTCCCTACAGAAGAAATTAAAGGTCTGGTTCCGGATTCCGAACCAGTTTCAGAGTAACCCTCCTGTCCCCAGTGACGAAAGCATTAAGATCGAGGAGAGAGAAGGCATCACGGTCTATTCCACGTAAGGCAACCGCTCCTTAGGTATCTTAGGGCAGGGCTGGATTTCCTTAACTACCTCTTGAATCATCTTCCATGAGCATTTGCCTTAAATTTACTTCAGTTAAGTAAGAAATACTCAATCCTGATAACTTCTCACTTTAATTTCTTGAAAGAACCTTCAAATTACCTTTGTATTTGAGCAAATGCCTTTGACAGTGGTCATATTGCAATGCGTCAAGAAAGCATGCCCTTGGCTTAGGTTAAACACCCAGAGTCAGAGACGCACCTGTTCTAGCCATTAGAGAGAGCCTCTCCTGTAGGGTCATGGACACGTGAGAAACACAGACTTCTAGGAGACCTGATATCTGCCCCCACACTCTTCTTCAAGGCCAAGAACTGGGAGCCTTTGTCAGAGCTGAGCTGCCATGCCCCAGATGTTCATGGCCTGAGGTCTCCTGAGCAGAACACACATTTGTCCTATTGTCCTTGCAGGGTTTCCAGGGACCTCATGGGATAGCATCTCCTTGACCATAGAGAATAGCAGGTGCCTATGTTGAATGTGTTTATCCTTTGGCTGAAAATTACCCTCCGCCCAAAACCCAAGTCTCCTCTCAGTAACCAGTACCCTCCATTTGTTAAAAAGAACTCGCCTGTGTAATTGGGAGCTATGGAGGGAGGGAGACCAGGAGCTCACCTGCAGTGACTGTGAGGTGAAGGCGTGGTTCTACTCTAAAGCACCTCTCAAAAATAAGCACACAGATCATCCTGCACCACACAAAGTCTGGCTCTTCTCTCAGGAGCCTCCACAGTGAGTTATTTGACTGCCCTGCTCCAGCTCTGCCCCTGAGAGTGAGACCCCTTTCCCTGGAGCGAACACTAACGCTGAGAGCATGAGCTGGGTGTGGCCAGACTGATGAGTAGCCAGGTGACTGCAGGGCCCTCACTGGAAGATGGCGAGGGAGTGCGTGGGGAGGACGCAGCTGAGCCGTTGGCGTCAGGACCCCCAGGCCAGTGCTGCTGCCTCAGTCCTCACTCTGACTCCTCAGCCTTCCCTGTAAGGGCTGCTGAGAAAGCAAACTGTAATGAATGTCTTTCCCGAAGCAGAGACTGAGGTGGAATGAGGGACTAGAGTGCAAAATGTGTGGAAGCCCTCACTTCATGCTCATCCAAGTACACGCTAGCTGGCACTTGAGAGTGTGCGCCTCTTTATTTTGCTCCCTAGACACCTGCTTGTCTCACCCTGGACCCAGCTCTGTCTGCTTCATTCCCTTTCCCGTGTCAGATCACCCAGTAAGCAAAGTCAGCACGGGCTGCTTGTGCTTACTTGCTAATCTGTAGTGAGCGGTGGGTACATATTTTTTACCACATCTAAGATTCTGTTGCTAGATGTGGCTGGCATCTCTCTTTCTCTCTCCCAACCCCACAGTTTTTTCCTACAGAATCAAAGCCTCTTTTCAAATTGACAAGCCCTGACAGGGACAGAGTATCCAGTAAGCTAGGTAAGCCTGGGTTTAATTCATGTTTACTTACTCTTCTATAGTGAACAGTTTTGGCAGGGGTTTCGCTTTGTCTGTGATGAAAACAATTTCGCACGTTCTCAGAGATGTGATAAAATTCAAGTGAGGTTGTTCCCTGTGGTTTGTGGTTAGGTGCTCAGCCCATTTAGGCTCATAGCGACCCTGTGCACCACAGAGCCAAGCATAGGCCAGGCCTGGGCCTGCCTCACAGTCGTTATGTGGGAGCCTCTCTGTCGATAGAACGCCCTGGCGCACTTTGTCTTTTTCACTGACCCTCGACGTTACCAAGCTCAAAGTCCTGTTCCAGACACCGGGCTTTCCAGAAAACACATCCAGATTGTGTGAGACGAAGTGCGGCCAGCGTCCCTGCCGAGGGGCATTCTGGCTGTCCTTTTTCCAGGACGTGTTTGTTCTTTCAATATTCTGCACCCAAAACATAATTCAGCTGCATCCCTTCTCCTTTGGTCGTCTTCATTCAGTGTACAATTTCACGTGCATAGTAGGCAATTAAAAGTAGCCTGGCATCGTGCAGGGCCATCTTAATCTTCAACATGGATCTTTCCTCTTCAACCCTTTCTAGAAGTTTGTGCAGCAGAGTTGCCCAGAGCAATAGGTCATTTGATGGCTGCTTCCGGGAGCATTGACTGTGGCCCTAAGCAACATGACACCTTGATAACTTTTATCTTTTTTCCATTTGTCCTGATGTTGTCTGTTGGTCCACTTGTGAGGATCTGGGTGTTCTTTACATTGAGTTATATTCGATTCAGAAGACTGTAGTCCTTGATCTTCATCAGCAAGTGCTTCAAGTTCTCTTGCCTTTCAGCAAGCAAGATTGTGCCATTTGCATACCATAACTTGTTAATATTCTCTCCTCTAATCCACATGCCACGCTCTTCTTGATACAGTCGGATACAGTCCGGGTTCTCAGGTTACTTATTTAGCATGAAGATTGAGTACATGTAGTGAAAGGACAGAACTCTGACACCCACCTTTCCTGATTTTCAACCATGCAGTACTTCCTTGTTCTGTCCACACTATTGACCCAATACAAGCTCCACATGAGCACAATGAAATGTTTTGGAAATCCCATTCTCCTCAACATCATCCATAGTTTGTCATTATCTACACCGTCAAATACGTTTGCATAGTCTATAAAACTCATGTAAAACTCTTTCTGGTATTCTCTGATTTCGGCCAAAATCCATCTGGTATTAGGAATGATATCTCTTGTCCTTTTCTGAATACAGCTTGAAATTTTGACAGCTCGCTTTCATTGTTGAATTATTTTCAGCAATATTTTATTTCCATGTGATAATAATAATTGTCTAATAATTTCTACATTCTCTTGCGTCACCTTTCTTTGGAAGGGGCACAGATAAGGATTTCTTCCACTGTTGGCCAGGTATCTGTCTTCCCTTTTTTTTTGCATAGACGAGTGAGTACTTCTAGTTCTTTATCAACTTGTTGAAAGATATCGGTTGATATTCCATCAATTCGTGAAGCCTGTTTCTCGCTAATGCCTTCAGTGGAGCTCAGATTTCTTCCTGCAGCACTTCTGGCTCTTGCTCGTGTGGACCAGTTCTCTCTGGCACAGTGACTCTGTGTATTCCTTCCAACTTCTTTTCATGCTGCCTGCATCAGCCAATATTTTGCCCATAGAACGCAACTATTTTGCCCATAGAATCATGTCAGAGTAACCAGCCTCTGGCAAGCATGGGGGTACTGTAGGCTCAATTGTATGGCAATAATGTATAAAGATGATAGGAAAGTCACAGAGAATAGGAGACGTAGGCGAGAGAATAAAATAAAGGAGTCAGAGCATGTTGTGGTAGCACGCTCACCTCAGCCCCTCTTGGTGGTCCCCGTGGAGGTGGGAGACAAGAGGAGGAGAGACCCTCTTTATTTCTAACCAGGCCTATATATATTTAGGGGTGTGCAAGCCCCCCTGATCATAGGTAACCACATACGTCACAGGTAGGGGTTGCATCATAGGCAATAGAGCAACGGGAGGGGGACGATCGAGGGGTGTACACGCTATAAGAAGAGGAACAATTAAGGGTACACATGTGACCAGATGAGCTGGCTTGACCTATTCTGAGCCCTCCTTCAGGAAAGCAAACCACCATCCTTATCCTCAGGGAGTGAGCCTCACCAATGGTGGGACAGACAATAGGCTCTGATTGCTTTACCTTGCTGAATGCCTTCAGGGAGAACACCTCTAAGCAGCAGAACTCACAATGTTCTGGCAAACAGCATGACAGCCTGGGGAGAAACGTTTTTTGTATCCACAGAATCATGCAAGTCAAGACTTGATTTATTTTTCTTCAATTCTGTCAGCTTAAGATATGCTGAGCATGTTCTTTCTAGCTGTGTTTCTAACTCCAGGTCATTGTGAACTTCATGATAATACTTTACATTGTCTTCTTGAACTGTCCTTTGATGTTTCCATTAAGCTTTTTTACTTCATCATTTCTTCCATTTGCTTTAGCTGTTCTACGTTCAAGGGTGAATTTCAGTGTCCCTTCTGCCATCCACGTTGATCTTTTCTTTCTTGGCTTTTCCCTTTTCTTTGCGTATAATGTTCTTGATGTCATCCCTCGTCAGGTCTTCTGTCATTAGTGTTCATTGTGTCAGATCTGTTCCTAGATGTTCTTAGAATTCAGGTGAGAAATACTGAAGGTCATATTTTGACTCTCATGGATTTGCTTTAATTTTCAACTTCAACCTGAGCTTACATATGAGCAACTAATGGTCTGTTCCATAGTCTGCTCCTGGCCTCCTATTGGCTGATTATATTGAGCTTCTCCATCATCTCTCCCCATAGGTGTAGTTCATTTGGTTTCTGGGTATTCTGTCTGCTGAGGTCGATGTGTATAGTCACTGCCTATGTTGTTGAAAAGGGGTATGTTAGTCTGGGTAGACTAGAGAATCAAATCCAGAGAGATGCATACGTGTATAAGAAAGAGCTTTCTATACAAGAGCAGTTTAATATTGAGAAACCATCCCAGCTCAGTCCAAATCAAGTCCATAAATCTGATATTAGCCCACATGTCCGATACCAATCTATAAAATCCTCTTCAGACTCATGGAGCATATGCAATGAAGCTGAATGCAGGAAGATCACAGGCCAGTGGGTGGGGAGTCTTGTGGATCCAGTTGCATTAGAAGCATCTCAGTGCTGGCAGGGGTCTCCACCTGGTTTCTCCAGCTCCCAGGCTATGGCTGCCTTCAGCCTGTCTCCATGTGTCTTGTCAGCTGCAATGTCTCCCAGGGAGTGAGGAGAGAAAGAGAGTCTCCCACCTCCAAGGAGGAATACAGGAGTTCAAAAATCATCAGGAGAAGGCCATGCCCACACAGAGGCCTCATTGGCTATGACCTGATTGACAGGCTAGACAACACCCCTTCACTCTTAATCCTCTCAAACTGACAAACAATCATAACTACCACAAGGGGTATTTGCAATGAAGAAGTCATTGGATTTGAAAAATTCAACCATGCAATCTCT